GAACACAAATTGGTTTCGGAATATGTGTTTGACTTACGTTCTTTTTTAATTGCAATGGTCCATTTTTCACGCAATATGTTTCCCGGAACTTTTTCCCCGAAACAATAAATGTAATGTTTTAAGACACGAGAAGTTGCGGTGAAAATCATCCTTTTTGAAACATATTAAAATATTTGTTTTACAAAACAAAGAGTGATGAATAGGATAAAACTTTAGAAAATTCTTGATTACATTCATTGATTTTGGGGACATGTATGTACTATTCTAAGCACGGAACTCGACCGTTTGTTGCACGCACTATTTATTTAAAAATGGTTCTTATAAATATTCATTGAATTACATATACTTACTATATAGGAGTACTTTGAATTTGCAATAATTCACCATAAAAGTGCGGTGTATAAATGAGTAGATGTATTACCATAAAATTTGCAATAGTTCACCATACTCCTCCGTCCCAATTTACTTAGCCATCTTTGACTTTTCCAATCAAAGGTGGTAAACTTTGACCAATTATTTAAACTAATATATTTATGCAAAATTTAATAATTTTATACTTTTATGATAGTATTTTTAACAAAGAATATTTTCATGTCATTTTCATATTATTAATACTTTCTCTATATGTACATATAATTGGTCAAAGTTAGACGTCATTGACTTGGAAAGACAAATTTGGCTAAGTAAAATGGAACGGAGGGAGTATATACTTACTATACACTTTCACGCGTTAAATAGCAAATGATAAGATAGAAGAAAAGACCCAATAAGGAAATTATAGAAAACGTTAGAAATAGAAAATTCAAATAATTTCATAACTGAAGTCTAGATGGTAATATGTCACCCCAATCCAAAAGTAATGCATTTCTCACATTTTTGGAGAGTTCACTCTCTCATTAGAATGTGACATTGACCTCAAGATTAAGAAGTGGATGGCGTCGGGTTTTTGGAACATATTAAAATCTATTTTACAAAATACAGAGGTTGTTTTTGGAGTAGTATATATAGAGGTTGCGTTCCTAAGTCCTCTAGCCCACATATATAACTTGTTCGTATTTATGGGGTAGCTTGGTCGGGGACGTAACCTATGTAGAGTTTCACATTTATAGATATCTCATCACATATTTATATATACTTTTTATTCCACATACAAAATTTAATTGACAGAAGAAAATTAACAATAGAACATAACTTTGTTCACATTATCCTTCAGATCAGGAAGTGGTTGGCACTCAGTTATTTCTTCCTGCACCGCTACCACGACTAACACCACTTGTTATAAACCCGTTGTTAGATGTTTCTAGCTCCATGTAGAATCTAGATTGATTTGCAATTTATGTTGAAGAAAAAGAAATCTAGATTATACTGGTTTGTAATTTAAAATGAAATCTAGATTAATTTAATTTATTTTATTTTATTCCTAAAAAATAGGGTTGTATATTATGTTGAAGAAATCTAGATGGGTTTGTGATTTATGTAGTTTGGACAAGAAAATAAGGAGAAAATTAAAGGAAAAAAACCAAAAATATAGTAAGGAAGAAGATATATAGTTTTGGCCCTTTTAGGCATAAGACAATATGGTTTGGGGATAGATGTGATGATCTTCCAGTACAATTTTTTGCCTACTTAGACACATAATGCACGGAGGAAATAAATAGTACTCCTAATTTTTAGGATGGCTCTTACAATGGTGAATTAATATTAAGAACTACTGTGTTGTATATACATGACTACATGCTATATATAGTAGGAAGTAGCATCTATGAATTTAGTATTAGACAATTCTTATTTTACTTTCGAAAATTTAATTGATCGATCTTCATCCATTATGGTTTCAATTCACCAACAAGGTGAGACATGAGGAGAAAATAGAAAAACGAGTGCGCTACTTCCTTAATCATGTTTTTTTGTGTGTTGTACTTTCTAACATATTATATGGAGTAATATATATATATTCTAAAAAAAATCTATTCTAGGTTAAAAGTCAACATCTTTGATTGAAATGAAATTCGAACATGTGTCTTCCTCAACCATGTTAATAATCAATGGTAAGATAATGAAATTGTGTAATTAAATCCTTATTTGTGATGCGAATGTTTTTTCCAGTGCAATGTTGTACCGTTCGGTATTTAAGAAAAATTCTTAGTGTACAAGAGTTGTACAAAGTGACTTAACAAAAATTCTTTGTTAAGTCACTTTAAATGTGATGAAAACTTAAAAAAGGAAATAAGGAAGGTAAAAATTAATGTTTAAAACAAAAGGTGGAGGAAGGTTTGGATTAGGGGTGAGTTCAGTTCTTTCGGTTCGGTTTTGACCTAAAACCAAATACGGAACCAAAGTAAAAGTTTGGTTTGGTTTCGGTTCGGTTTTACACTCCAAAACTTCAAACCACAGTTTGATTGGTTCGGTTTGTTTCGGTTCGGTTTCGATTTTTTTGGTTTTTTACTAAATATTTGTCATTCAATTTAAAATTGATATAAAAGTTGGAGGGATCAAACATATTACATAAAAATGCAAGCATACTTGAACAAATGAAGAAAATAATAATAAACAAATATGTCTTGAATTATATGAGTATGCGGGAGAGATAAAAGTGTGTATCTATTCTTAATTTACAATGTTTGTGACTAGTTTGAAAAACGTTTATGAATACATATGTCCTGTGTGATTTAGCCGAGATGAATATTTATTTGTTTTATCAATATAAAAAAGTTAAGCTACAAAAAAAATTAAGTTACATAAAAATAAAAGTTAATTACTACTAATAACTAGTAAAAACATATAATCATGCAACAAATTGCAACATACATACATAAAAGACATAATAGATCAATATAGCTACATTATTATTGGCAATGAATGTGTAAATGCATTTATAAACTAAATTAAACATATCATAAACATTATTTCTCTAGCACAAGAAATTCAAAGATTATTGATGATATTAAGATTAATGCTTACGTTTAACAAATAAAATTTCACATTTTATTTATGTTCGGTTTGTTCGGTTCGGTTCGGTTTTGAAGGGTAAAAACCAAAACCGAACCAAACTACTACGGTTCGGTTCGGTTTTTTACATTCAGTTTCGGTTTTTAGCAGTTCAGTTTTATTTGTTCGCGGTTCAGTTTAATTTGATTCGGTTTTCGGTTTTTGGTTTTTCGGACCCAACCCTAGTTTCGATACCCCAACCTCAAAGAAGACTCCAAACGCATGCACCTGCCATTCCACTACACCACATCATTCTTTAGTTACAATTTGGTAATGATAGGATAAGATATGTATACTCAACCCACAAATATATGTAAATTTTAATTTTTAAATATATATGTGGGGGTTGGGTGGAGGTTGAGTGGGGACAGATGTCCCCCACCCCCACCCTGGATACGCCACTGTGTAGACATGTAACTAGGGATGTACAAGAAATGTGTACAAAAAACTTTTTTCCTAAAATGAATAAGACCATTAGTAGCGAACATTTTTAAGGGTAAAAATGTTAAAAATATGTTTTTTATAACCCAAGCGTCGTACTTACACTCCTATAATACTAGAGTTTTTGAACTCTAAAACATGCAACTAGAATGTTCAAGAGACTTCTCAAATATGCACTTAAAGTATGTTTGACACGACTAACTGAAAATATATACTTCTACTTTTGAAGTATTTATAAAGACTTTTGAATAATAAAAAGGCAGAAAGTAGAGATTTAAAAACTAAGTAATATGCGATTGTTTCTACTTTAAATTATGTTGTTGAACATACAACTAAGACCCTTTAAAGACTTGGTAAATAGAAGAAGCGTTTTCGATTGCTTCTACATTAAAAAGGGTTTTTTTTAAATGATTTTGGAGAAAATGCATAATACTTAATAGTAAAAGTTGATAGTTTTTGGGAAAGAAGTGCTCCTGAAAAAATAAAAATTGGTAGTGGTTGATGATAGAAAAAGTGAAAAACAGTTTAAAGCACCTCTCCACGTGCTTTCAACTTTTAACTTTTAAGTGTTTAATTTAAGTAGAAGATGACAACTGAAAACACTAATTTTAATTTTTTAAACCAAAAATTGGAAAATGCTTTTTTACACACTCCCTTATTCTTATGAAACATGCACCTGGTATACAATATATCAAGTATGTGATTTCATTTGATTTGGTCTAATTTGATCTAAATCAATGTGGTAATATCTATTTATTTTACAAGTGACAGTTTCATATAGTCATACGGAGTATGAGTTATTTCAATATATGTGATCTAATCGGACGTGTAAGAGGGACAGAGTTAAACGACGAACATTGGTATACAAGTGCACGGGGAATCTGGCGACTAATTTCAGGACGAATGTATAAATGGTATCTTAACTATTGACATTGTAGCGTTTTCGTATCTTCACTTTTATATGAGTTAAATCAGTATCATAACTATACATAAATATTTCAAGTGAGAATATTATTCAAATTTACGACAAAAAATTTCTACATGACGATCAAAATTTCATATGTAGAGTTATCATAGAGTGATGACATGGACAAAAGTAAGGTGTGACGGACCTTACGACTAGAATTTGGCCACCACCTATGATTTTTTATCCAAAAATTTGAATAAAATTCTGAATCGAAACACTTATATATTTATGATACTGATTTGATTTATTTAAAAGTTAATGTCCTAAAAAATGTAAAAACTAACAATACTACTTCCTCCGTCCCGCTAGAAGGTTCTCACTTTCCTTTTTTGGACGTCCCGTTAGAAGGTTCTCATTTCCATTTTAGGAAACAATTAACAATCATAAGTGACAAATTAATCATTAACTATTAAAAATAATACATTTATAATATCACATTTATCAATACTAACTACATTATAATATATACCTATTAAAATTATTTTCCAAAATATATTTAAAATACTTTATTTAATTATTGTATAAATAAACTTTCCAACGGGAGGGGGATAATACTTCTAATCATTTATATTGACCCTCCGATTACAGGCAATTTATTCAGTACCATTAACTCGTGTTTGTCGTTTCATGCAGTGGAGTAGCTACGCTTCTCCTGCACTCAAGTTTCTCGTACTAGAGAAGTGGAAACGGCTAAAAGCTTTGTTGGTTTCCTCGAAATTTTGGAATAAACTGACCAATAGAGCTGTTTTCACAATTTCAGAATTTCAGAATTTTGTCGAGTAATGATTACAGGTCTTCTGATGAAAAACGAATACAAACTAGAAATGGTGTGGTAGGGTTTGCACTTTGCAGCAAATCCTGTAGCCGATTCTCCAGAGAGGAATGTCACGGATGCTTGGTGCCACTGAACAGGCGGAACAGCTTAGGCAAAATGGAAACCACTGCTTCCAGAAGAATCGATTTGCTGCAGCTATCGATGCCTATACCGAGGTAGTTTTCTCATTGGTTATGAATTTCTCTTCCATTTTAGTTCAACTTTGTTTGATTAGTGTAGTGCCTAATCTTCAATTTCAGGCGATAACTCTATGCCCTAATGTTCCTATATATTGGACAAATCGTGCTTTATGCCATCGCAAGCGGAAGTACGTATGAATCTCCTTGTTGCATTACGTTATGATTTTTTTGGAAATCAGTCATGTTTTGTTATGTCTTTCCTTCTTTGGCAGAGACTGGACAAGAGTGGAGGAGGACTGTAGGAGAGCGATTCATCTTGATCAGAACTCTGTTAAGGTGTGTGGAGAACTCTTTCCTTAAAACGCACTGGAATGTCACATTTCTACAAAAGCTGCCTTCATTGCACAACACAATGCCTCGTAGCTTATATTCCATTATCTTTTAATAGACAGTCTTAAACATTTAAGCCATATAGTGACACTTAAAAGGTCGTTGCTAATAATCTCAACATCTCCCTAGAACAATGATGACAATTAGTGTTATTTCTTACCAGAGTGATAAGTAGCAATTGACCACTCTTTGGCATGTGGAATAGGGAGTAATTTCTAAGTCATCTCTAATCTGCTTACTGTGCAAGTTGGACTGTTGGAGAATAAGTAGTATGGCAAACCTTTACTATATTGTCTCAAACTCTCGTCAAGTCTTCTCTTTTATAATTTGGGAGGAAGCAAATTTAGTAGAAGTAACACTACATTACAGCCAAAAAAGATAGAACTAACATTATATTTGAAGTTCAGATCTGGGTTAGTTAATTGTGGATTCTTCTGTATACGGCTAGAATTATATGTGTGCATTACATTTATTTATGGTTAAACAAGGTTTTTTTTATTGATCTTTGTTTTCAATATCCACTGTTATGAGCAATTGTAAAGATGTCTTGCTCTGTAAATCTTTAGATATAAGTTTGTCAATAGAGTTTATGGTTCCTGAATGTATATTTTGAGTTTTTTTGCATAGTATATACTAGAAAAAATTAACCCACATATGACTAAAATTTAATGTGTTTCCCAAAATATGACTTCTATCTTTTTTCTTCCCAATATGATAGTGTTTGGTATGTATAAAACTAATATTTAATCATATTTTGGGATGTACAAAAGTAGTAGTCATATATTCTGAAATTGTCAATGTTTTAGTCATATATTAGTAAATATCCCTATATACTATTGAGACCTTATCTTGCCTTAAAACACTCGGGAATAACATTTTTTGAGACGGTTGAATTGAACAACTTGTATAAGCAAGCTTCTTGATTTCACTGGAAAAAATTAACTATCTATTCATTCTGACTGCACCTTAGTTTAGACATGTTTATTTGTCATGGAGTCCTTTTCCATACTTCGGTGAAAAATGCTCATCCTTGTGATGCACTAAATGCCGTCCTCCTCCTCCTCCTCCTCCTCCTTCTTCTTCAAACAGGCACACTATATGCTAGGTCTTGCCTTGCTACACAAAAAGGAATATGCTGAAGGAGTTAGAGAGTTGGAAAGAGTATTCTTTGTTCTCCCTTCTTTCTCAAACTAATAAATACCCTGTTCATTTTAGCATCACGAATCATGATGTTATTGCATGTTATTGCAAATGCGCTTGAATTATTGATTCTGGAACAGATTTTGTAAAACTATTCAATGATCATTTTTGTATAAGTTATGTCTTATATGGTAGGCTGGTTAAAGAGTGAAAGGCTGAGTCAGGTCATCAACTTATAGAGTTACAGCTGCTGTTAGTTTTAGATGTATTTGATGAGTATTCATACTCTAGAAGATTGGGTTCAAGTTCAAAAAGAAAATGTATCTATATTATCATGCCTATCCTTAGCAATGTGTACTCTTCTAGTAAGCTACCTTCTTGATATGAACTGTGTAATGATCAGATTACTCTGTGACTTGGCCATTTTATGGTTTTAGGACCAGTTTGGTAGTTATAATCGGCTTATTCTCTTACAAGTGGACTAAGTAGCTTTGGTGGTGCATATTTGGCTAAACTGGATGTTACTAAATGGGCCATTACTGATAGACAGAAACACAACTGTGATTCTGTTTCGTGCATGAAAGTGTCCAATGCATTTTATTGAAATCATAATGATTTAAAAGAATTGTATTACATCCTCTATCTTTATTTTGCATTTTCGAGGTTTCTGCCCTGAGGATCTCCATTTCATTCTTAATGGAAGGGAAATGAGTTAACATAATACGATAGTATAACTTTTGAGTATGCTACATGCCTTTGTGACATTAGAAAACCAAAACATAAAAAAGATAAAGAAAAAAATGGATAGAATTACTTATAGTAGAAAAATTAATGTTACCTTAGGATGGTTACTCTGGGCTAAAGTGCACTAATAATTGGTCTATTTGTCCTTGAGTTTTGGGCATGTTGCTTTTTAGCTGACATGTGGACAGACACTTGACTATTAACATGGCTAATTATATTAAGAAGGCAATGTAAGCTGATGTTATTTTCTTGCTATACTAAGTCAAGAAACAAGGCTAATTTATTAACATTAGCAATTATTATAACTACTTAATTAATCATCCAAATATTTCTGTTCTGCAGTAAGTAGATTATTACTTAATTTCAGGCATTGGATCTTGGTAGAGGTGCTGATCCTAAGGGTTACATGGTAGAGGAGATCTGGGAAGAGCTTGGAAATGCAAAATATTTGGAGTGGGAGCATGAATCCTCAGCACGTGCTTGGGAAAACCAGAATTTGAAGTTGCATACAATTTTTTCATAATATCAATTTTAATGTTTCTTTCCATCTTTTTTGTAGTTTTATTGTTCACTGTTTTGTTCTGTGTGGCACAGAGAGGCTTGTGTGGCAGCTCTGAAGGAGAAACATTTACTCGATAGCTCAAAAAAGAAGTTTAAGGAAGGACCTAAATATGAAAGGATAAATTCTCTGGTCTCTCTCTCAGAGCAAATTGAAGCTTTAAATTTAGTGTTTGAGAGAGCTTCTGAAGATGATACACCAACCGAGGTGCTTGTTTTTTGTTGACTATATTCTTTTTGGCTCTCCCCTGTCATATATGCATGTTGTGCATAACGTTTAGCAGAGAATTTGTAGGTTCCTGATTACTTGTGCTGTAAAATAACTCTAGAGATTTTTCGTGACCCTGTCATTACACCCAGTGGGTTTACCTATGAGAGGGCAATTATCCTTAACCATCTGCAGAAGGTACTATCTTAATTTGCTTCTGGCTAGTTTTTTTAATATCCACAACCATTCACACCTAGTTTATTTTTTGGACAAGGTGGGTAACTTTGACCCAATTACCCGTGAACCAGTCAACACATGTCAGTTGGTACCCAATTTGGCTATAAAGGAAGCAGTTCAAGTATACTTGGCTAAGCACAGATGGGCTTACAAGACGGAATAAAAGCTCACTGGGTCACAGCTATATTTAATTCTCCCAGGGTGCCTTTAAGTGTAAGTTCGCTTGTAATATCAAGCAGATGGTTAGCTGTATAGTTTCTATTATCGTCTGCTCTATTATTGCTTGATTAAACTGTGTACAATATTATGAATTATGAATGATGTATGCTATGCAGGGAAGTGACCCTATTGTTATCTATTACTACCCCGCCTACTGGGGGGGGGGACCAACTTTGAACTAGAACTAGTTGCACTAATTGTGTGTATGTATGCATAGATTTTCCAAGGGCTATAAGTGATACCATCATGCCAGCCATTATGGGCACATTTAAGCTAGACCTAACAGTTCCAACTTTCATCACGACACTGTTCACTTGGGATGGACACGATCTCATTTTTGGACCGATGGCTGGACTTGGACCAACCAGTTATTCCATTGAAACGTGACCGGTTGATGCCACATGAACCGAAATGTACCCATATACCGGTCCTGGTCTTAGACCAGTAACCAAAGTGTACCCATATACCGGTCCCGGTCCCAGTCCTAGACCAGAAGCGGCAAGTGGCAATCCGACGAACGGGCTACACAATTACTGTTCATGATGCGCCCATCCACAAAAAGAGTGGGAATAAAGTTCAAAATCGCATGTGATAATTGGGTTAGGCAGAGAATGGATAGGAAGTGTCTGGAATGCAGAGACACGTGTAACTTATCATCATGTGTAAGTTACTGGAAAAAGTATGGCAGAAACTTTTGTTATTGCATGAACAATTACATTATCAGTGAGAGTATATTGATTGCTCATATCACGTTTTTCTATTATTTGTTGCTGCTACACCACACTACAGAGTACAGACAGCTGGGTTTGCAGTTAAGAAGAGCTAATGGTTCATAATTAGAAACAAACACAATGGGTGAGCGTCCCCCTTTTCTATTAGCTGCATTTTTGGAGTGATCTTCTTAATGTACTCTTGTCATCACACCAAATTACAGTAACAATGTCCATTCTCAAGTGACATTTTGATTGAATTATATGCTGTTTGATTGCCTTGCAGTGTGTGGGGGCATTAAAAAGGGGATATCGTTAGAGCTAATTATCTTTGTTATTATTATAGGCATAATAATAAAGCTCTTGTAGTTTGAACAAGCAGGCTTATCATTCACCACTACTCACATGGTAGACCCGATTGGTCTATTATAGGGTTGAAACCCACCATCCAAGAACACCCCAGTGTGTGGTGTTCTTTTATTGGTTAATTTTATAAACAAAACGAGGGAAGAAAGACACATGTTCAGCTTTATTTGTTCTGGACGATGAAAGGCCTAGATTGAAACAAGGTCAAATTCAATGGGAGAAATTATGGTGTTTGATTTCATCGTATGGGGTAAAACCGGTCGACACCATGCGAGAATCTCGGTAATGAGGTTTCTCGAGGCATCTCAGTGGCTCCGCGTGCTATGTTTTTAGTCTTGTACTCTTGTCCCATGATAATTGGTAGAATAATACTCTACTTTGTCTTGTGTACGCATTCAATTCATTAAAAAATAGTTAAAAATAATGTATGTATATAGGTGAGTGCTGGGTTTCAAATAGAGCACTGTTATTGCTATAGTGGCAGCAATATAGCCGTCACTGGCGGCAGCGCTACCGCACTGGACTGCAATACCAGTGTGGATGCGAATCACGGTGAAAACTCGCTTCATAATCCGGTAATCGCGATGAAACCGCAACGAATTGGCTAGGGTGCTGCATCAGGCCGCTACAGGCTACTGTTGGCCACAACCGGCCCCAACAGCACCACATCACCTTCATATTTCATTATAAATATATTTATTGCTGCTGCGACCGCAATACGCATCATAACGGTCTCATTAGCCGCTACTGCAATGATGGCTACCCTAATTTAAAACCCTGGGTGAGTACATTTTTCGTATACAGGAAGAATTAAAGGTTTTACATTCCACTCACAAGTTTTTTTTTGAAGCAATTGGAGTCTGGAGACCATACGTTCAGTCTAGGGTGAAGATGCCATCGCATCAGCAAGATAAAGAAAAAAGCTTAAGTGGGGTCCCGGGGTCCAAAGGGTGGGGTGGGGTGGGGGAATCAGAAGAAGACAATCTGACAATCATGAAGATGGAAGCGAATCTTGTGTTTTTATCTACTTCATTCATTTTTTTATTATACTTCTTCTCACAGTAACCGTAAGTATGGAACGAAAAGGGGTCAAATTCATCAACCCCACTCTTAGTAATAAGTTAATAACTATATCGATTAAACTAAAATCTGGTATAAAAAAGATCAATCAGTAAAGAGTATGGCATTGAATACTTATACTAGTACTCTAGTAGTATGATGAATTTTCTTCGTAAACGTTTGTTTTACATCACCGACATCCAACCATCGTTTTCCGCTTTCCTTCCCGCTAGACCTTTTTTACATAAATGGCAACTAACGTCACTTTCTTTTTCTTAAAAAATTTTATCACTTTCACCTTTTTGTCAATCGATTTGTGGTTTTGTTATTTCTTTTTCTTTTGTACAAATCTCTATCATACAATTTTTACTTTATAATTCTACGTGCCGGTCAAACTTGACAATCCTTTTAGAGACGAAGCCACGGAGGGAGTATTATACAACTTTTTAAATATCATTTCTTTCGTACAAATTCCCATGGAGATTTTCAACCACAGTTTCTTCCATCAATTATTACAATGGATTGAAACCAATCATCGAACAGATCCTAACTTTTTTTCTTCGTTTGTATAAAAAATGGATTAGATGTCCCCACTTATAGTAGCTCTTGTGGTGCTATACGCTTTATAGGCAGCGTTTAGTTTGACGAAAATAGTGTTTTACCTCTATGCAAACTAAATGTTCATTACTTTTTCCTATGTTGTAAACTTTAGTATGGGACTCAATATGCTAGCGCGAGACATTTCATGGCATATTCTTTTCCTATTTGTGAAGAAATCCTGAAACGGGCGGTTTTGGTGGCAGTGGTAATGATGAATTAGTGAGGAAATAGAAAAGAAGGTTGGATTATGTCTCCTATATAGGATAATCAAACATTTTTATGAAAATGTTAAAAGTTTTGACGTATTAAGATGATGAATAAAAGATACATTTAACTGGACAGAATTTTTCTCATATAGTCTGATCTGATTTGTTAAGAGCTAGTCTGATCCCCAAGTGATTGTTCTAGTTGTTGAAATCTGATTTGATCTGTTTAACTCTGATCTTAGATGGGAATCAATCCAATTAAAACACCAAACACCAACTACATGGATTGTAATCCTACATTGGTTAATAGTTCTAAGAATCCCATTTAAGAATCACATGTCTGGTTGTTAGTTTTGTCATCATATATTTGATATAGATATGGGTATGGGTACCTCAAGCTACATCCTAATTACATGAATCTAAGAGTACCATAAGCTTCATTTTATTTTGTCTCTAATAAAATGAATCTTAACAAGAATCTGAATCTAATTAATGAAACTAAGTTATATTCATGAAAATGACTAGGTCCATCAGGGCATCAACAACAACTTAGTATTCATTACTTCTTGAGTTGGAGAGGACCACAACAACAGACACTTCAATATAATATGGGGCTAATCTATGCGCCACTTGGGTGACTGTAATCCATTCATCAAACCATCTCTAAAATTTGTTATGTCATTTTTACTCAGCCTAAAACATCATATTGACTATAAAGTTTTAGGTCTTTTTGTATGGGCAAAAGAAACATTATGTGATCACCCTAGGAGTGAGGGAAAGAACCATCATCACACTTATGCCATACAGTCTTAAAGGCCTACCATGTGGACCTTAATATTATATTTATATTATATTATGAAATAATAATATGTAAATCCAAAAGAATATATCTTGTAAGTTTGGCCATACAATAAAATTATTACTCCGTAATATAAAAAACATGCTTGTAGACAAATAAAGGAATCCTCGTTTGCAGCTTTATTTGAACTTCAAGCAAAAATCACCCAATCAAAGAATCCATGTGGATCAATTATTTAACAAGCTAATAAATAAATGTACCATAAAAAAACTACTCCCCACTTCCCCATTACTCCATAATAAATAAATACGGAGTAAAAAACCAAAGGTCCGTTTGGTAAGGGTTAGCTGGCTCAATTTTCTGAAAAAAAGGTGTTGGTGACATCCATTATAGCCAAAAAAAGTCAAAAGTGAACTAAGGCAATTCTTACTGGCTACCAAATGGAGCCAAACAAGCATACACAAATCAGGCAGTAATAAAGCATCATTAATGAACAAGCAATGTAAAAGACATAATGGAACTATTTATAAAACTTCCAGATTAATTACACATAGATAGACATGGTAAGCTCAGGATAGGAATTTACACAACTAAGTTTACCCCAAAGGACCAAAACATCCCTCAAAAGAGATTATTATGTAAAAGTTTAAGAAGGTGAGGAATTTACACTCTTTTTTTTAACAAAGTACCAAAGGCTTCCTTCAATTCATGCAGTATGGGTGAGATTGTGACCCCTACTGAGTCTGCCAAGAATCCCACTTGCCTTCCTCTTGGCTCTTGAAGTCCCATTCTGAGCAAGCTGGGAGATAGTCCTGTACATATTCTCTGCTTCCCTAATTGCCCTCAACTTGGTTCTGTCCATGAAACAGATGCTATACAGTATAGCAACACAGTTCTCTTTGTTTCTTTCACAAGAGTTCTCCCTCATCAGACTAAGCAAGCATGGGACCCCTCCAAACTCCCCAATTTCCTCAACTGCCCTCTGATTGGTCGAAAGCATTGCCAGAATGGACAGCAATTCATCCACGTGGATCCCATTTTCAATCTTTTTCAAGAGAACCCCCACCGCCCCATCCCTTACTGCCCTCACCTTGTTTTCATGGAGAATACAGAGGTTAAAAATGGCCGATGCTGCGTCTTTGATCGCCAGAGAATGCCCTTCATCCAGAAGCTCGATAAGCGGTTTTAACGCACCGGATTGCCCGATCAGCGATTTGTTAGAGTCGAGAGCAGATAACGTGAAGAGAGTAGCGGCAGAATTGCTCCTCGTCTCAACTGTCCCCGATCTTAGAGCGCTCATCAGAAGTGGTATCACCATAGGAGTCTCCGCGACGAGCTTTTTGTTGTTGTCGTGAATCGAGAGGTTCAATAAGGTTGTGATCAGGTCTTCTTGCAGGTCAGGGTTTATGTCATTCTCGGGGTTCAGTTTGGATAACGGGCCCAGCAGTTGAGGAACTGCGTCTACCGATTCACCAAACAATGCCCGGAACGATGGCATCCGTTTCGTCAGCAAACGCAATTCTCTCGCGGCGCCTTTTTGTTCGGGCAGAGTGGAAGACATCTTTCCAAGCAGCGAAAGGAAGTGGTCTCGATCGGCTTCCGTTACGGCGTCATCCGTTGAAGACCCGATCGGGTCTGGAAGTTGGATCCCGTTATTCTTGCACCATTGGTTGATCAGATCCGAAACCAAGTGATTGGGTGTGAGTATGGTGTGTGTGAGGACTTGTTGGGTTCTTGGGCACGTTCGGTTCCCACTGTTTAACCATTTCTGGATGAATGGCCTATCGTAAGTCTGTAAAATCATGAAAATAAAAAACATCGGTCACAGGAGAACCAGGAGAGAATTACAGCGCCTATTCCTTTGATTTGGTATTGTTAATATAGCTTTTAGATACGAAATAATCAAGAAATTTATTTATTTTTAACATTTCTGTCACAATTTTAGCCCAAATTTAACACCGACCAAACGCGTTCTAAGCCATTATTATTCCATTAAAGTATGATTGCAAGCAATGAATCGCTTTCCATCCGGGGCAAATAATTTAGTGACGGTTAGTAATTTTTTGCTCATCAGTCTCATTCTTATTCTGGTGCTTTTATAAAAAAAGTTTATATTTGTTTACGTAATATTCAAAATAACAAAGGAAAACCCAACACTTCTTTACCTTTTATACTCCGTATATTTTTTATTGATAAAATATACTATAGTTCATATTTTTTGAGAATATTGTTTAAATTCTAACATATTTAACTAAAAATAATCCAGTAACAATTTCAATAATTACATAGTATTTTTTGAGAATACTGTTTAAATTCTATCATATTTAACTAAAAATAACTCAATCACAATTTCAATAAATTATCAAAATTGCGATTGAATCAGATGAATCTATTAGAGTTCTGAAAATTATATTACCCATCTCATTAACTTTGAAAAATAGACTTATGTGATCCATATTAAATTGATAAAGTAAAAACAATTTAAAACCAAGTCATTTTTTACATTGTCTTTATTTAACACTCAAATTTTGTTAATAATTCAAAAATTAGGACTGTGTTTGGTTGCGTTTCAAAATTCAACAAATTCAGGATCCAGAATATATTCCGTTTCAATCGGCTAAACATTATCCATTGTGTGGATATTTTTTATTTAATTTCAATTTAACTCAAAAAAGAAAAAACGTAACGGCGAAAGGAAGCAATGAACCGACCTGCCCGGTAGAAAGAATCACTGGGTCCCTCATGAGTTCCTTAGATAGCGGGCACCGGAACGAGTCCGGCGGCGGAGATACACTGTTCTGCTCTCTGAAAGATGAGCGGCGGCGGGGGTAATTCGTTCTGAGATCCCTCAAGGCGCTAAGCGATTCGTGGGCCCTATCAATGGCTTCCACATTGGAGCCTTCCTCGTTAACAATCGCTTTCACCGCCTTCTGCAACTCCCTCTTCAGCTCCGCCGCCCTCGCGGCCGACGAATCAGCGCCGTCCACTACCCCAGTCTTGGCCATGCGTGCGGACTCCGGAAATCTAACCTTTTCCGACGCAAATGAGGGAAACTCAGAATGGGGTTTGTTCTGTTTCGATTTCCCGGCAGAGATTTGGATTACAAGTGTCGATTCGCCGATTCATCGTACCTCTGAATCTGTTTGTGGAGTTTGGATTGGAAGAAGATTGGGGAATGAGTGGTTTGCGAGAAGGAAATCTGGGAATCGGTGGGCGTACAGCTGCTACGCGGAAGTGTCATGCAGAGGACTCGTCATCTCCCTAATACTTTCACCCGCATTTATGCAGTTGTCCTTGTATATATATATATATATATATGCATATAAAAGTCTTGTATTAATATTTTATTTTAGTTTCCTGAGAAAAAAATAGTGAGTCCGTACTTTCGGTTCAAATTTGTTTTCAGTCCCTTTTTTAGGAGAACTCATTTTACCATTTCTTTTCTTTATGTTTATTAAAATTGAATGATGAAAACATTTGTACTGGAAAGATAATGTACTCACGTTAAATATATTCCACTTGTCCCAATTTTAATATTCCTGTATACATTTTCCCTAAAATTTAGAGCATGTTTGACAGATATAAAGTTTTTGTTTGACAAATTTTAAGAACTTTTTAAAATATAAAAAATCTTTTTCGAGATGCTATAGGCAGTAGCATCCGAGAAAAGTCCGTGACTTTTAGTATTCCCTTCGTCTCAGAAAATTCTTCCCAATTTGATTTGGCACACATATTAAGATAGTGGAATAAAGTTGAAGTGTATGGTTGTAGTTGTGTAAGAAAAATGTGAAATTAATGTGAATCACACAAATTGTCCAAAAATGGTAAGTGGGAAGAATTTTTTGGGACTGCCCAAAAAGGAAAGTGAGAAGAATTTTATGGGACGGATGGAGTATTAATTTGTCCTAACATCTTGTATACCTAAAGGATCTAAATCAAACAGTCAGTTTTTTACCAAACAGCTACCACCTTTCTTTTTAAGATCTTTTCGATCACTAAAAGCTAACATTTACTAAATAGCTAACAAAAGTATCTTTTCAGCTAGTTGTGTCAAACATACCCTTAATCATTTTTTATTTATAGATAAAATAACAAAGTAAAAAATTTAATAATAGTATTGAGGTTTATATTGGGCAATAAGAAATTACTTTAATCACATGTTTATTACTTAAACGAAATTGGCAGTTTTGGGGACGATTAGAAAAGAAAATTAGCAATCTTTTGTGAGATAAAAGGAGAGCAATTTATAGTTTGTACTTTTATCAATTGGTGGTTATTCCTTCAAAATCTTACGAAATTTTGATGGAGGACACCCCTAAATCCTCCACGTTGACATAATTTCCATTCATGATTTCCATATATATGGATTCTTCAGAATTCGTTCTCTTATCATAACGTACCATAAAATCATTTATTATATAGAGCTTTTATTATAAATAAATCCATAACCCCTAAATTATCTGTTTTAAGTTTTAATACCCCGTTTAGGGTTATTAAAACTTTCTACCCTTTTAGCGGAAGTGCATAGCACGTCTTTGTGCTTAGGGTTAGATTTCGGCGGCCTTCGTGGATCTCAGCTGCTGGTTATTAACACGCAGGAACAGAGAGAAGATACCGAGCAGTCCAGCGCAGGTAGCGAAAGCCATTTGGTGCAGTGATTAAGGTAGTTAAAAGTTGGCCTAGATACCTTAGGCCCTTGTTGGTTCAAAGGAGGGGAGGGAAGGGAAGGGAAGGGGAAGGGAATGGGAAGGAAGATTTTGGAACGATCAAATAAGCCTTTGAACTTTCATAAAAAGTGCAAATAAGTCTTTTTACAGGAGTCTTTGTCCGGCTATCGCCATTTGGGGCGCTTTCCGGTGAAATATTTTGATGAATTTTTTTTAGCATCTTCTTCATTAAGTCTAGTTTACCCATAATAAATTTCAGCTAAAAATTCAATCGAGAAGGCATTGAAATGATTTTCTGAAATATACTGTGCTGCCTAACTGCGCAGTTATCTTCAAAAATTCATTTGACTGCCTCCCCGATTGAATTTTTATCTGAAATTTGGTATGAGTAAACTAGACTTAGTGAAGAACATGCTCAAAACATTTCATCAAAAAATTCCATCAGAAACCACTCCAAATGCCGATGGCTGGACAGAACCTCCTATAAAAAGGCTTATTTGCACTTTTTATGAAAGTTCGAGGGCTTGTTTGATAGTTCTCCCATAAAAAAATTGTTTTTGCTTGGAGGAAATAGGAGGAAAGGTTTAATGAAAATATTTTCGCAATTTACTTTTATTTGATAGCTTACTTGAAAAAATAGATACATGTCTAACTATTGTGAATATTACTCCTAAGGTCATGAGTCATAGATTTTTTTATTTGATTTTTTACTGTTTTAATTTTATACTTTTTCATTTTTCAGTTTGGAATTTTTAATTTTATTTTTTATTTTTTTATTTTTAATTTTTAAAATTTTTAATTTATAATTTTTAAATTTTCTAATTTTTAAAATTTTTAATTCTTTAATTTTTAAATTCTTTAATTTTTAAATTTTTTAATCTTTAATTTTTTTATTTTTTAAAGTTTTATTTTTTCCAAACTTTCTGATTTTACCTTTTTATATTATAACATTTTGTTCATTCACCTAGGAGTTTGGGAGTTTAGAATGTGAGGAAGTGGAGGATTTTGAAAGTTCTCACAAACCGCCACTAGCCTTTTCCGCGCACTTTGTTCTCATTCGTGTGCGTCTTGAGAAACTTCCCAGAGGGTCACCCATCCCAAGACTACTCCGTGCAAGCACGCTTAACTTTAGAGTTCTTGGCTAATGAGCTCCCTTAAAAGGAGATGCACCTTGTTGGTATGAGTAGTACTATTAATCTGTTTAAATTAAATCTCAAGTATTACAGAAACCCTCACCCCAAACAGAGCCTTAGGGTGCAGGCACGAATCGAATCCAATGATCAGCAATTTGGAAGGGTCAAATGGAAGAAGATGAAGTGTTTATGGTCCGCCCCCCTCTGGAACCACCGCCACGAGATGAACGAGGTGTTAGGGTTTGATAGACCCAGTATGTTAACAATCACACAATCATAGCAGATAAAGAAGAAGAAGCAGATATAAAGATATGAGATATTCAACGAATCTGGTATACCGTGATAATGGCCGCTGCTCTCCCTCGAGAAGGAGAGCATCGGCAAACCCTAATCTCTTTATCTATGCGCCTCTATTCTCTAAAGCCTCAATCGTTAGGGTTTTCATAAGTTAACATCCTTTTTAAATTATACTATGATTTATTTCCTCACGATTCTGTCAAGGTTTGCATCTGAAATAAGCGATTCCACCTTTTTAAATTGATGTCAATTCAACTAATTTCTTGATGGGTTGCCAAATTACCATTACTCCTTATTTAATCACACCAACTATTTCTTTTTGAAAAATTCCATCCTTTCCTTTGCGGATTTGCATATGCTCCTAGTCATATCCATAATTAGAAATTGCTCTAAATAGGAGTAAAAACGTTTTAAAATTCTAAACTAGGAGTATCATGTTTTTTATTCCCTAATTAGGAGTAATCTGTCAAGTTTGAAAAAAAATGTCATGTTTAAAGCTTAGTAATGCGAAACTTGGCAGAAATTCACTCTTATTCAACGAATAAAAAACATAATACTCCTATTTTGGAATTTCAAAATCTCTTTTCTCCTATTTAGGGAATTCTCTCATCCATAATCCATCTAATTACGCATACCACTATAGATTAGATAACTTTCAAAATATGTGCACGTACATTCCATAAATCTATCCTTTATGGCTTTATTGACATTAAATTTGCATTAAGTTACAACCCCAGTTACTACAGCTATTGTTTACAATTAAAAGTGAGAACTATCAAATAAGTACTCAAACTTTCAAATAAGCTCTTTTATAGAAGCCTCTGTTTGGCTGTCGACATTTAGGGCGGTTTCCGGTAGAATTTTTGGATGAAAAGTTTTTAGCATCTTCTTCATTAAGTCTAGTTTACTCATACCAAATTTCAGCTAACAATTCAATCAGGAAGGCAGTCAAATGAATTTTTGAAGATAACTGCGCAGTTAGGCAGCACAGTATATTTCGGAAAATCATTTGAATGTCTTCTCGATTGAATTTTTAACTGAAATTTGCTATGGGTAAGCTAGACTTAATGAAGAAGATGCTCAAAAAAATTCATCGAACAAATCCACCGGAAACCTCCCCAAATGGCGACAGCCGGATAAGTCTCCTATAAAAGTGCTTATTTGCACTTTTTATGAAAGTTCGAAGGCTTATTTGATAGTTCTCCCCAATTAAAAATTTAGGAAGAATTCTCCAAATATGAATAAATGAAACTTTAATCGCAAAAATAGGATCATACTTAAAAAATTCTTAAATAGGACTAGCTTTTCAATTCTACCCTTGCTTTATGTTAATACAATTCATTTTCATTAATAATTAAAAAATAAAAGTAATAACATAATTGTATTTAGAATAGAAATGTAAAAAAATAAAACGCGAAATAAATATTAAATTAAATTAAAAAAATTAATTATTAAAAAAATATAAAATAAAATACATAATAAATTAAAATAAAATAAAAACATAAAAAATATAAAAAAATGTAGGCCTATGCTGCCGCCTCAGCAACCTCACAACACTACCGACTCCGATTACCGAACAAAATGCCAACATGTGTCGGAAATGCCATCTTGATGGCAATTTTTGATTTTTTGACATTTTCAAAATAGGACTATGTAATTAATAGTAATCCCATATAATAGATTTTGGAACATATAAAAATAGGTATGTTAGGATAAAAACGTTTTTAGTTCTATTTTGAGTAATTATTCTATTAGAAATTGGTAATGATAGAATAGGAAGACAAGGTATACTTTAGTACTATTTTGGGAAGAAAATAATATAGTCCTATTTGTGCATTTAGAAATTAATTTATCCTATTTAGGGCTATTATCTGTTAAAAATTCAAGGAAATTACCCTAAATAGGATAAAAAACATTTGTATATTCCAAAATAGGATTGTCATGTTTTTATTCCCAAAAAATGGCAGTAATTACTCATATTTTGAAATTATTTTCGCATTAAATCTTTACAAATGGCATTCATCCCATACAAATGGCATTCATCCAAATTTAATGAATTGAGTGAATTTGTTGATAACGATAAAAAATCTAATTGAAAATTTGGAATACTGAATTATGAAATAATTCTTCAAAATAAATTTTATTAAATCCAATCATTTTCAGAAAACTGATCTAGTTAGCCCGTTGGCAAGATGGA